TGCTCCCGGGGGGCCTCCTGCTCCTCCTGCTGCTCGCAGACCCGGCGCTTCCGACCGGACGCCCCCCTCCGGTGGTCCTGGGTGAGGCACGAGTCTAGTAGTGGGTCTGTTGGCTCCTGCGTCGGGCAGGACCGGGTACGGGGGTGAGGGGGACTGTCTCCCCGGTTTGCATGGGCTCCAAGCACGGGGTAGGGGGACGTAGGACCGTCTTGTCATCTGGGTCGGTCCGTCCGCCTCCTGCCATGCTGGTCGCGGGTGTGGTCACCCTCTCTGTCACCTTCCCCTGTAGATTATGGGGTAAGGAGTGTTATTTGCGGTAGTCCATCCGTCTGTCTGCCTGCGTCAGTCCCAAACCTTGTCTTGTCGTATCCCCATTTTTTTTTTTAAGCTGGAAAGACTGAGGCCCTTTGGCCCCACTCCCGAGGGCCGGTTTGGGGGTAAGGTGGCCCCAGAGTTGGCCCCCCTGGGGCCTTAGTGTTGACTTAGGCTCGACTGGTAGGCTGTCTCCCTCGACCTTTTCAGCCCCTTACATCTCAGAAGGCATTGCGGAAAGGAAGCTCATTGGGGAAAGGATTCCTGTCTTAACCTGCCACCAGGGCTCCCCCCAGACTGATCAGATGGGTAGTATTGGGCGTGAGGGAGGAGACCTTAGGGCAGTGGTTCTCAACCTTCTGGCCCTTTAAATACAGTTCCTCATGTTGTGACCCAACCATAACATTATTTTCGTTGCTACTTCATAACTGTCATGTTGCTACTGTTATGACTCATAATGTAAATATCTGATATGCAGGATGGTCTTAGGCAACCCCTGTGAAAGGGTCGTTCGACCACCAAAGGGGTCGCGACCCACAGGTTGAGAACCACTGCCCTAGGGAATCTGAGGCTGGCTAAACGCAGAGGTAAGAGGTGGGACTGTGGCTGTGAACAGATGTCAGGGAGCTTGCCTGCACTCATCCTTTCAGACCTACTTGGACTCAACTATGTTGGGGCTAGGCGACCTCTCCTGCTTACTTGCCCCCCTCTTGGTCCTGACCCCTGACAGCTGTACAGGCGTCACGGCGTTTCCTTGCCGTGGGTGGTGGGCAGGGATGAGATGTTCATCTTGGGGGCCTTAGATGCCCCACGCAGACTGTCACTCCCACCTAGAGCTAGTGTGCAGGTGACCAGCCAGGACTCCTGAAGGCAGAGGCTTGCTGAGGTATACGTTACGCACTGAGTCTGCCTGACCCCCGTGCCTTTTTTGCTGGGAGTATTTTACTGGGGATGATACAGGTGACAGATGGGTAAGACTGGCGGGTAGTTTGGTCCTAAGGCGTCCCCCACCGGGAGCTCTGGGCCATGAAATGCTTCAGGGGGATGCTGGGCCCCGGTTAATCATGGGAGTTGGGCACCCTTGGTTCTGCCTTCCTTAAGCTTCCAGGATGATCCCCAGAGATGAGGTCTGGGCTGGGCAAGCACAGAGAATCCACGGACCCAGTCAGGGCAGCTGGAGCTGTGGCCAGGAGAGTTTCAGGCACAGGGAACATATCGGAGGGAAGGAGGTAGGGAGTCCAGGCTGTCTGGAATGGAGTGCTTTGGTGGGGAGGGAGGAGGGAGGGGGAGGGGGGAGTGGATTGTTGA